TGCGGCCTTTTAAAAATCTGCGCCATTTTGCTGATTATGCGGTAAATTCTGCGATCGCAGAATCGCGTTTTTCTGGAGGGTCTAACTAAGCTCATGCCTGTTACCATCTCACTGTATGACACCAATGTAATGTTTGTAGATCCCTTTATTAAATGTATCCTCGCCATCCATAGTCTCTAAATAACTTATTTAACGTATATATGATATTTAGGCTTGCTGGTCTCATCATATAACGGCAATGAAAAGAGCAGCAGGAGAGGCAGCCATAACCTCTGCCGCACTGAAGGGGGCGCACGTGAGCCCACAGGTTCTTGTTGCTACTGTTATTCTACGCAGAGACGAGACGCAAACAACAAAACTAGACTTTTGAAATTACAGGAAGATAAGCAGGACTTTTACAACAAACTAATAGAGATTGTTGTCCAGAAGGAGAGCATGGACTTAATCTTCAAGTCAAGGTAAGACCACAATTGTAATGAAAATGGGATCTTACTAAGAAAAAACAATCCAATATTTAGATTTTGGGTATCCTTTTGTTGAACGGTCTGTTTAAAATGAATCGAAGCATCAGACTAAAAAAGCTTTTGAAAATAACCAAATATTTTGATTAAGGTCAAAATATAATATTTGTAAATCTGACTCAGTGCCTCACAAACCATGAACCTCACCACACGTCACTGGTATATATTTTTTTCTTTGTTGGGGTCTGCCCCCAAAAAACAGTTTTAAGCCCTGAGAAAGTCAAATAAGACGGTGTGTAAAACTTCATTGCCCAGCCAAAAAAAAGTAACCACTTTGATTTAACTAGGCCAGTAGGTAAGGGCTTTCCACTGGATAATAACTGCAGCGATGTATATTTATTTAGCTGAATATACGTTTTTTAACCCTAACTGATGCAGTTAGTCACTTCTTTAATGTTTGTTCTTTCTGATGTAAAGTCAAGGTTGTAACTGTTTGCAGAAAAATCGTGGGGCGCTGAACTGTTGCTTTGAATCTTTTGAATTTTGATACATGATATAATTAGTCGTCTTTCAAATTTGAAGGAGGGTGAGCAAGCATCTTGAGAAACATTCATCATTAACTCCTCCAAAAAATATAGTTTATTCAATAATAAATGAATATGTGAATCATAACAGCGATTGACAGCTGATAGGAATAATATGATTGTTAATAGTATCATATTCATTCAGACAAACATCGATGAGATAGTTCATTAATGTACTTATTGCAGGAGTCTTCATAGATTTGGTACCCCTACTGGTCTAGTAGTAGAGGGAAACAAACTAATTCAGTTATTGTTCAGTGAAAATTCATTAAATCATGTCTGCCACTTTATATATTTAATATGTAAGGCTTTACTGATGTGCCACAATAATGTCACCAAATGTTATTGAGTTAAAATATTAATATTGTGGCTTTCCAAGTTAACATTGATTGATATGACTGCAATTAAATCAGCATATACTTCTGCCAGGGGATGCCACCCCTCAAAATCTCCTGCCACCCCATGAATATTTGTCTAGATCCGCCCCTGTTTTACTCATCTACAATGATTTAATTGGCGTAATGTTATCCTCCAATTTGGTTTAGCTCCTTTGAATGTGGGTTTAGTTTGGTTAATCGCATTTCCCTTCCCATTGCATAGTTAAACTGTTTAAAGCTAACCGAGTAACGTTTTCCTTGAGAACATTAAACATGGTTAATTAGCAAATGCATCCAACTCCTTACAAGACATTTCACATGATTTAATGTTAGCGATAACAGAAGGCTTTCGTGTTTATAACTGGGCATTTCAGAAAGAAACGTATTATCTCGTTGCCTTTATTAGCTAACCGTTAGCTTAGCTTGACGTGCTTAGAAGGCTCTTACCAGGTTCTAACGTAATTTACGTTCACTAACAGCTGTGTGGTTAATCTCGTTATTACTGTTGCCTCAGCTATCGTCTAGCCGCTAGGTTATTACTTCAGCTTGCTAT